CTCATTGAGCTACGTTTATTCATGTCCTTTATTTTGAACTTTGCTTTAAAACTTGATCTTTGGCGATTTTCAAAAATTTATTATTTTTGACGAAAAAATCCATATAGTTCAATCAATAAAATAGACATACCTATCATATTTTTTTGCAAAATTTGCATAAAATGACAAATGATGTCAAATTAATAAGCGAGAAGGTGTACGAAGTTTCAAGTTGATAGCGTAAGAGGTTAGTCAGTTATTCCAGAAAAACAGAGGGGGTCCGATCCGCCCCCCCCCCCCCCGGCGGTCGCGGGCTAACGTGTCCGTGTCAGCACCATTAGACCCAACATTACGAGCGCAAAATGATCACCGCCGTCAACGTGCTCTAAAGCCCTAATAAACAAACAAGACCCGTCAAATAATGTGACGGGCCCGGCGGACGTTCACAGTCTACTTACCCCGCTGCGGCGACAGGTGGGGGGGGGGGACACGATCGGAACCAAATCGGAACCGACTGCCGGTCGGAGTACGAGTCCGCCGGCTCCGACCCCAGAATACAACCGTCAACATGCCGACCAGCCTCGGGCGAAGAGACGCGCGGCCCGCAGCCACCGCCGTCAACACAGGATCGCCGCCGGACATGCCCCCTCCCCCCCCCCCCGGGGGAGGGGAGGAGGGACAGCAGGAGAGGTAGATACGAGATGAAATGACATGATAATTGATATGCGCTTCTTTGAACAATGAGCATGGCTTTTACTCATCATATTTGTTGAACATCAACCATTAGAGCATCTGATCAATAGCAAAACATTGCATCAAATATTAGACTGTTGTAACGTTAAATGACAATTTGGACCATGGTCCGTGATAGAAGTAGGGCTAGAACCAGACAATTGCTCAAATATTTATAAGTGAAGGATGTACATGTTTGACGAAAATAAATCTAGTCGATGATTGTACTTGAGCACGGAAAAGTCGGTCGGCTGTCGTCATTCGATAGTTTCTGCCGACCGCTTTTCGGTAAGACAACATCGACCCATCGACCACCTATTGGGAGGGGTGGGGGGGGGGCAGGGGGTTCTGTTTTTCATAGCCGCACCAATCGCCGTCCAATGAATTTTGAAGGTTCATGTCACGACACTGAATGCATTAACTCTGCAGAAAAAACATCATTTTTGGTAATTGTCTTCGTGTAAAGCAAGTTGAAACCGCCACAAAAAAAATAAATTCGGACACCTATGCAAGCGCAAGACGAAAATCTGCTATCACGGTAGGCGCTTCGCAACATCATGATACCAAAACTACACATGAATGCACCAGTGGAATCATCATTAGCGGAAAATCTCACTCATAGGCATGACTATAAACTTACCTATAAATTGCAGGCACGCTGATGAAGGTTAGCTTGTTGCTCGTATTTGATTCTATCACGACTCTTCAGTCAGTCGTGGAATATCAAAACAGAAAAATTCAATCGTTGATAAGCCGCCGGGTCAATGAACGTAAACAATGCACGTGACGTCTCCGCTCCGTTGCCCATTTCGAGGTCAGGCGGCGGCAGTGGGCCGACCGGGGGCGGCCGCTGATTGGTCAGAATAAGCGGCCACCTGATTGGCGGAGCGGTGACCGGGCGGCCCCCTGATAGGTCGCCGCCGACCCGGCCGCTTCAGAATACGCGCCGTCAAACAGTGAAATGTGTGCTAAATCGATTGCAAAAATATCTGATTATCTCACAGGGAGGGGGGTATCTGGTACATTCACCCCTTCGGCAGCCTCCTAAATCGTTCAAAATTTGTCGCTTTCCGTTAATTGACAACAAAACAGCAATTTTTACAAGAAAAGGCCTTGCTTTCACGATCTCAGCGACGCATGAGGTACCCAAATCGGAGGAGTCTGGATAATTTGGGACGATTTTTTTGGGAGAGAACGCCCTGCAATGTGCAGTACTCCCTTTCAGCATCAGCCAGTGTACGATTAAGACACAATAAGGCAGAACAATTGGCTGCTAACCTATGCTAATAATCAGCAGTTGCCAAAACACGGACACCCGATGAACAACCAAACTCGGTCGGCCGGTCTCTCAGCCGGCCATACCTATACGCCACAGCTGGTGGATACGCGTCGGGCGGCCGGCGGAGGGGGGGGGGGCGGCGGCCGGGGGGGGGGCGGGGCAGCGGGAGGGAAGAGCGTATTTGGCCGCGCCAGTTTATGTCGAAAAGCAAATTAGATAAGAAGACCGAACGAAAACTCCCAAAGGGTAGCTTCGAATTCAGAATCCAGTTTTTCACTCGGTCAGTCAGTCCTCGCTCTTCGGCAGACATGTGCATGGATTCGAGTGATGGATCTATGATCTCAGACCTCAGTGGATCTCGAAGCAAACTGCAGATTAGGATCTATCAGGCGACCGGATCCGGTATGAAAAGTCTGCCCTAGATCTATGATCTCATAGGATCTGATGATAGGAATCAAGAATATGCAGCTATGATCTGAGTGGATCCCACCATGCACAAAATTTGAATCCAAGTTTTCAAGTGTTTCTACGTCAATTAGTGCCAAAAAAACTATGGATTGGGACAAACATATCGGAATTTTGATATCGGTGATATAAGATCAGAGGCCATTTATTCAAATAGGTACACAGTTAAAAAACAGAGCTTTCGGTAATAAATACCTACCTTGATCAAGGTATTTATTACCGAAAGCTCTGCTTTTTTTAATGTTAACCCTCGCCCGTATTGGTGTTTTTCCAGCCGCGAACGTATAAGGGGGGGGGGGGTCCGTTGGACCCCCCCTTGCCGTTTCGCCCCTGATCGAGCTAGAGCTTCGCGGAAAAAACGAGCGTGTTGCCCGTGACGAGAGGAAGCCGATGATACCCAATTTTAAGGTCCTAGGTCATCGGTTGACCTTCCAGGTCAGGTCAATGACCCAAAAGTCGGGGAAATCGGGACCTGTTAGAAAGTCGTAAAGCGTGGCTGCTAATGGGTTTTTCGGGGTGCCGATCACGAATATCATGTTAGTTTTTATCACAGATGATGTCTTCATGCATTTAGGCCAGGTCGGGTCAGGTCAGGTCAGGTCAACCAGCCGGGTATTCCTAGTAGGTGGCAGCCGCCTCTGACAGCTTCGTAACATGTTACGAAGGTGCCAAAACTACTTCGTAAATGTTCATATGGTTGCTAAATTCGAATTCAGCTCCAAAAACTGGCCTAGAAACATGTAAAACTCGAAAAAGTGAACCGAGGTCATCAAAGGTCAATGACCTGACCTGACCTTCCGGTGACCTTGACACCCACCCTAATGCATGGGAGCAACATCATATCCCATGTTTGAACGCTTGAAACCACGAAAAGACTGCAAACGCGCGGCTAATGCGAGCCGACATACGCCGAATCGCGATTCCGGCCAAACATGGTCTCGAAAAGTAGGTCACAGGTCAAAGGTCATTAGGGTCAGGGTCATGAAAATTTCAGGGTAGGTGTAAAATTGATTAACGCGAGGGTACTGAAAGTTTCGTCGCGATCGGCCGCTTTTTACGCGAGTTATTCGCGAAAAACCGAGGGGGGGGGGGTCCGTTCGACCCCCCCCCCCCCTATACGGGCGAGGGTTAAAAAATATTTGAATATATTGTCGTTTTATATAGGTATAGATCAGAGGCCAGTTTTACCAACAGAAAAATAGTCGCCTGCCGGCATTGTTTGCCTAAAGACCGCCTCACATACGGAGCGTAAACAGGGGTGGAATATTAGAAATTTTGGGGGTGCTCGAGCAACCCCTGAAATTCAAAGGTCACCATAGAATAGTACTCCAGTAGTTGCTTAACCATCGCCCGTATGGGGGGATTCGAACGGCCCCCCCCCATGGTTTTTCGCGAATAACTCGCGTAAAAAGCGGCCGATCGCGACGAAACTTTCAGTACCCTCGCGTTCATCAATTTCACACCTACCCTGAAAATTTCATGACCCTGACCCAAATGACCTTTGACCTGTGACCTACTTTTCGAGACCATGTTCGAGGGTTAAATTACGTCTGAGACATAACTGCTTTGCGTAAGTCGCGAGGAGAGTGATACTGTTGGGAAAGCGTCACTGTTATGTGCTTTTCTATGCAAGAATTCGACGCTTCCATTCGACATGTGCTGAGAAAGCACCCCCTGGGATTATGACAATTCTCCGCCCATGAGCGTAAACACGATGGGCAGTGGGCACGTAAGCGGATAGGGCCTTTACTGTTTCACTCTGTATGTGAAGCAATGCAAAAGCCAGGCATCGGACCTAACAAAGAAAATGCATGCAGTCTTGATCAACCTACTTCAAACGGTTACTCCGGCACCCAGCTGCCGGGTGCGCCACAACGAACTCGAAGCGGCCAGAGTAGCCGCTCCTCTCCCTAGATGGCTCTAGTAGTACAGCGCCTGAAATCCCGCTGTGCCGCAAGACACGAGCCCGGGTCTGGCAGCGGCGAACTGTCGCCTTCAATGAGCTTTTGAGCGATGTAGTTAGATATGCAATGCGCCATATTCTGCGATCGATGCAGGCAGGCTAACTCTAATCAGGTGGTACGAACAGTCGGCTATACCTACGGTACATACTAGGGCCTGTGTTGAGTTCATCACTTTGATCCTGCAGTGCTGCCTGTTCGGCACAATAGGAAATGCGAGCATCCACACCGTGGCAGTGGACAAGACACGGACCGTCGTACCAGCTGTGGGCCTGTGGCCACGCAGCAGGTCCTCGGGAATGCGTGCCACCGATCGGCGCCCTCGAGCGGCGACCCGTCAGCCCGAGGCTGACACCCTCTGACCAGTGCGATATTGACAGATGACAGAAGTTACTGACAGAGGGCAGCCGAGCGGAGAGCGGCGCCGGCCCGCCGGCATATGGTGCAACCGGCACGGCTGAGGCCGATCTGTTAGAAACGGGATTTCGCAATTGATCCCGGATGGCGAATGACTTGTATGTACATAGGTATATACTCGTACAGTACGGCGAGACAAGCCTAAAATTAAATAATACACGTATGTGTATTTTCAACTGCCTATGTTTTATTCACCGTAAAAAAATAAACTATTGCTCTTTCAAGGTTACTAATGGTGCATTTATCGATGCTTGAATATTATTCTTTCTGTCTCAGTGACTGCAGAGCGGTGTTTCACTGGACGCTGCTATCACGCTGCCAGCGGATTTCGCGACCTGACGTCACAAACTGTGGCCGTGTTGGAGATACGAGTTTGTTGATGTCTCCATGGAAACTCAATTTGACACGTGTGCTGGCAGCGCGCTAGCAGCGGCCGTGAAACAGGGCCCCGAGTCCGAGCACCCACTCTGGAGGCCGGCGTGGCCGCCGATGCTCCAAGGCCCGCCAGTGTTGCCGCTGCTCCCGTTCTCCTCGGGCGGCGCTGGCAGCGTGCCGCCCTGGGCGGGTGCGGGCCGGTACCGGCCCTGTTAAGCCCGGCTCCGGAGCGGTGCACGGTATCCAGCACACGGACAGCGCGGCGGCGAACCTCCCACGGTGAACCAGCGCCGTCACCGCGGCTCTCCAGTCCTCCATGGCCATCCTTCGTCCGTCCGGATCCTCTCTATATTCCACCGCCACCGACAGACTCATTCCCTGGATCGGTGGCTCACTCCGTGCCCGGCGGCGGTGGTCCGCCGGCCCAGCCGGCTGCTCGGGCTGGACGTCTGCCGCACGGAGCCGGCCCCGGCTCACAGTCGGGCTCCGTCTGAAGCGCCCCCCGTCAGCCGGCTGGGACCGGGCCGCCGCCGGCGACTCGAACCGGGACGGCGGCGTGGGCGAGCGGCCGCGGCCGGCGGCGGCGGGCCCGGCGCTGCCGGCGCGGTACTCCACCCGCCGGGCTGCCGGCGCGCCGGTGCCGCCCTCTAGGGCGCTCTCGTAGTCGGTTCCCGTATCTCATTGCAGACAAACTTGGACGGCACTGGCGGCGAGGGGGCGACGGCCGTCCGGCCGCGGCTCGGTTGACACGCCAGGGCACCGCCGGAGTCGGCCGCTTCTGGCCAGACGTCTGGTGACTGACTGACAGACGTGTCCTGCCGGCCTGCTGAGGTGAACCGCTGAGCTCCGGCTGGCTCAGCGGCCCGCGGCGCCGGACAGTGAGCCAGCGGGCACGGCCGAGTCTAGCGCCGCCGCCCCCAGAGCCGCGGCACCATCCTTCTGCAGCAGACACACACAGACAGACACACAGTCACAACCTCTGAGAAATGCAGACATATCATCATCGGGCTCTAATGCAGATGACAACGATAACTTCTTAACGGGTGGGAGCTCGCACTGAAAACGAGTCATTAACAGCGACTTCATTTGCGCAACTTCAGTTGGCAGAGCTCGATGGGAAACTTGGGCTGCTCCACAGGTGTCAGTACTGAGCAGCAGTCAGTGGAGGCCGCACACACCGGACAGTCCGGGCAGCAGACTCAGACAGGACAGCAGACTCGGACTGGGTATCAGACACGGACCCAAAATCAGACAGGGGCCAGACAGCAGATACAGACAATACTTCAACGGTCTGAATGTTAATGTTTATCAAGTCAGTTGATTGATATTCATGCTAAATCAGTTGGGAACTCCCCATGGAAATTATCAATTTCCGTTTTAATTATTTTGGTATATTGGGAGCCCCTCTCGATTTCGTTCAAAATCGCCACACAGGTGTCCCACCACCAGACGAAAACGTTTCATATCCCGCTACGTTTTATAACTCACAGTCTCCGCCCGGTCTCGGCGGGACGCGGGGGCGTAGCCAAGGGGGGGGGGCATAGGGGCCATGCCCCCCCCCCCCTGGAGCCCAAAAGGGCCCCCATCGCGGTGTCATAAGTACGGTAAGGGGCACAATAAAAGTAGCGTAAGAGCCCCTCGGGACACTTCACTGGGTTCGTGGGGGCCTTTCGGGCCTGAGACCTTGCCGCTAGGGCCCTCTGGGCTCTCTTCATTGGTTATAAAAGGTCCCTTCAGGCCTGAGGCTTTGCCCCTGGGCCCCTCGGGGCCCTCTCCATTGGGTTCGCAGGAGCCCTTCGTAATTTTAAGGTAGTTAAGCAAATAACTACGTCATGAAATTAAGAAAATGTTGGGCCCCTTCGCTCACATCGGCCCCTTTCGGTCTGATTGGCCCCCCTGAAGAAAATCCTGGCTCAACGCCCCTGCCCTTAGACGGCTTACATGACCCTCAGACGGCTTACGAGGCTCTCATGGGCTGTAGGGGCCTTTGGCGGTCTGATTTCTGAAGGACCCTCATCCGACCTACCGACCTCATCCGACCTCAAGACCGCCTTCAGAACCGGCTGAGCGACTCTGTGAAGCTATTCGTGGGCCTATCTAGCAGGGACCCATGGACTGCTTGCCCCTCAGTTCTAACATTTTTTCATTTTTTAAATATTTTTTAAAATTTATTTGGGCCCCCTCCAAAAAATAGTTGATGAAATCCGATGACTTTTTGGATGTGTGTGTCTGTGTGTATACTGATGTTTGCACCGATTGTTTATGTGTCCATATTACATGAAATTATGAAATGAGAAGCATTTATCAAAAATACAGTCAAAGAAACTTCACGAAAAGTAAATTCAGCTTGCCTAAAACACAATGTTTTTAGATGACCTAGGTTGACCTTGACCCTGACCTTGACATCGGTACATCGTCGAACAACATGTTCCATGATAGGTGGGAGGTAAGACTGGCAAAAAAGGCCGAAATCAAGGTGTCAAGAGCTCACAAGACCCAGAGCCAACGCAATATATTAGGTAGTAGTCCCATGCATTAGGGTAGGTGTCAAGGTCACCGGAAGGTCAGGTCAGGTCATTGACCTTTGATACCTCGGTTCACTTTTTCGAGTTTTACATGTTTCTAGGCTAGTTTTTGGAGCTGAATTCGAATCAAGCAATCATTTGAACATTTACGATGTATTTTGGTGCCTTCGTAACATGTTCCGAAGCTGTCAGAGGCGGTTGCCAACTACTACGAATACCCGGCAAAACCATTGCTGGTTGACCCGACCCGACGTGGCCCAAATGTATGAAGACATCATCTATGATCATAACTAACATGATAATCGTGATCAGTACCCCGAAAAAAAAAACATAGCAGCCACCCTTTACGACGTTCTAACAGGTCCCGATTTTCCCGATTTTTGGGTCACTGACCTGACCTGGAAGGTCAACCGATGACCTAGGACCTAGGCTGAGATCTTAGGGGGGGGCGGATGTCGCCCCCCCCCCCCTAAGATCTCAGCTCCCACTGGAGCTAGAAAGACGAAATTTGGAGGGTAGGTGGGGGCCATGGGGAACTCTGTTGTGTGTGAATTTCATGACCCTAGGTCAATATCTTCAAGGTCAAATGAGGTCAAATGTGGTCAAATCTGCCATATTAGCGACTTTTTGCGTTTACACGCCGATAACTCAAAAAGTTACCAGCCGATTTTTAAAAATATTTCTTTATACGAAAGAGCAAACATTTGTGAGTATGTATGGTGAATTTCTAGATAATCCAACAATAAACATGGCAGTTAGAACTAGAAGCCTGCTAAGGGTAAGATGTCGCCGGCTGAAGCGGCATCGGCCGACGCGGGAAACGCGGCAATCACAATTTTGTGTTTACACACTCATAACTCAAGTTGTTACCGGCCGATTTTCAAAATTCTTTGACCATATGATGGCCTGTACATTTCTCAGTCTTCTCAACGAATTTGACGCGAATCTAATATAATCAGTGGTAAGGAGCTCGATGTAAAGACGGAACCGTCCCGCCCCGGCACAGTCTACAATTCAGGCGGCGCGTAACGGCTAGCGCCGGACGCCGCGCCGCCGCGGCGGCAGGATGTTTGACTTTACACCGCTATTACTAGAAAAGTTGTGAACGGATTTTCTTACTTCTTGCACGAGAAGATCCGCAATTCAATTCTGGACAGGTAGCCGAAATTTCACATTGATATTATGCTTGCGGCGCGAGTTATTGGCGAAAAACAGGAGGGGTGGGCGAAATCCGCCCCCCCCCCCTTCCACTGCGCGTGTTAAAGGGAACAACTCGGGTTGACGGATCTTCAGAAAGGAAAAATCAAACGCCCGGCCATGACCTCACTGTTGGGGTCCTCAAATTGAATGGAATAGTTCGCCGAGCCGCCGCTGCCCATGACGCGATACTTTCAAGAGAGACTATACACCAGGCGGCAGCTGATACTCCTGCGAGCAGCCGGCAGACCGCAGTGACACCTGACGGCCGCAGTCGGAACTAGAGCTGCGCAAATGCTCCCACCATCACACAGTAGGCGCTCCATGTGCTCTAGGCTCTGGCGCTTCAGGAACTAAAGACGCATTAAAATATATAAACAAACGATGTTTTACAATGTAGCCAAATATCCTGGCATATGAAAAATGATACTATTTTTGACATGATGCAAAGCACTTCGAAGGCATACATATCCGAACGCGATCCAAGCTCGATAGGCTGAAATAGCTACCTTCGGTCGTGACCCGAGTCCATAGAAGTTTACGCAGCCAGCATTTACGCTGGGCAGCAAATGGGCCCCAGTGTCAGCTACGTCCATCTACATTGTACCTATGGCGCTCATAAACGGCTACCGATTTTTACATATGTGGATAAATAACCTACGAGTTTCGCCACCTATGCCTCGCACTGAAATGTATAAACGCGGTCATATTTATATTTCTCTGTAAAGGGGCGATCTGTTTTTAATTTTGACGAAATGTTATGAGAAATGCCGAAATTGGCATGGGGATGTTTTGGTGAACGTCGAAGGGATATTAACGAAAGACGAAGCATTTATCCAAATAGTCAAAGGTTCTGCCGGAACTCAATCAGTTATGGCGAATAGCGAAGGTTATACCAACTGACGAACTGTGGATTGGGATCAGCATTCCGTTTTGCCCATATGCTGAAGGTTTTGCCGGAATGCCTCTCACTGGCGCCACCTATGTGCTGATCGGACGAATGGGTTTAGGCTAATTGGCCAACGAACAACGCAGAAAGGTGTAGAATGGAATGAATAATGCGTCTGTCACCGGCTCAGCGCCCATCTCTACACACAACCAGATGGTTCTGCAGCCACTAACGATTGGGAGGGGGGGGGCTGAGCTGATATCACGCTCACCCGTCGCTTCGATGAGCTGGCTCTCCGCCGCGCTCCGCTGCTGCTGCTGCTGCCGCTGGACCTGCTGGACCTGCTGGCTAGAGGTCGTCGATGGAAGCCGCGGAGGCGTTGGCGAGGGGATCTGAAAACGTTAGATCGTGCACGTGATTCTGAGCTTGCCAATCGATGAATAAGTGCGAGAACCGTAGATTAATAACGTCAAAATGTTCATCAAGTAGCAAAGCAGTATTGATCTGTCTCCATTCAGAACTACTAGGAGCACTGGTTACGTACCGCGGCTACCACCCAGTCCCGTACCCTGGCGGCGGCGGTGGTCCGCCGGCCCAGCCGGCTGCTCGGGCTGGTCGTCTGCCGCACACAGCCCGCCCCGGCCGGCGCCGGCTCACAGTCGGGCTCCGTCTGGAGCGTCCCCCGGTCAGCCGGCTGGGACCGGGCCGCCGCCGGCGACTCGAACCGGGACGGCGGCGTGGGAGAGCGGCCGCGGCCGGCGGCGGCGGGCCCGGCGCTGCCGGCGCGGTACTCCTACCGCCGGTAGCCGGGCGCGCCGATGCCGCCCTCTAGGGCGCTCTCGTAGTCGGTTCCCGTATCTCATTGCAGACAAACTTGGACGGCACTGGCGGCGAGGGGGCGACGGCCGTCCGCAGCAGCCTGCTGAGGTGAACCGCTGAGCTCCGGCTGGCTCAGCGGCCCGCGGCGCCGGAGAGTGAGCCAGCGGAGCCACGGCCGAGTCTAGCGCCGCCGACACCATCCAGAGCCGCGACACCATCCCTCTGCAGCAGACACACACAGACAGACACACAGTCACAGCCTCTGAGAAATGCAGACATAGCCTCACAGGCCGCCCGTTCGGGCTCTAATGCAGATGACAACGATAACCCGCGCGGGGCTGGGGTCTCCATCCGAACGCGCGGGGCTGGGGGGGGGGGTAAATTTTACCCCCCCCCCCCCCCTGCTATCTCCCGAACTAATGGTCTGATTTGGAAAATTCGAAGGCCAATCGAAAGATCTCATCACGAACAACTAAAAACATGTACTTAATTTGAAGTTTGAGGTCAAAGTCAAGGTCAGGTCAAGGGTACAAATTGCAAGTTTCTACAGTATCGGCCTTGCACCGTAGTTGCCGAAGAATGGAGTCATGGACTGAGACTGATTGCCCAAAACGTTTTTTTAGGCTACCAAGACAATATTCGTTGCATACAATATCATTCAGAGGTCAAGGTCAAGGTCAGGTCAGGTCAGGTCACCAAAAACAAAATATAGAAAGGGCATGTGCGACACATGTTTTATGGGTCATTTCACTCATAGAATTCAATAGGCACACTCAATAAGTGATATGGACCACCTCTGGATGAATTTCAGGTCGAGGTCAGGTCAAGGTCAGGTCAAGTGAGGTCAAATTTTGAAGTTGGTTGTTAAGGCCTAAAAAGGTGTCTATCTGATGCAGTTTTTCACGGCAAATCGAATGGTGCTATTTTTGCTTCCGTACGAGGTCTAGAACATCCAAAACAATTAATTTTTAAATTTTGTGTGTGTCGTGACGTCATAAAATTTTGAATAACTCCCACATTTTTGAACCGATTCTTCTAAAAATTGGTATGTAGGTGCACATAGACCACTTCTCTGACATATATTCCGGTTTTTTCGATACACTCAAAAATTTTGGATTTTATAACTGTTTTCCCAAAAGTCAGTTTTTTGAAAAAAAAATTTTGGGCCAAAATCCAAAATTTTCAAAAAACCGAGATAACCATTTGATAGACAAAGTAGAATTACGTATAACCTTTTTTGTCAAGTCTTGATTCCTTTAAAAATGAAGATGTTAGCGGCGTTTGAAATTTTGCCGTTTTTGAGGCGAAAATGGCGAACATGACGTCACTAAAACGTCAATTTCTCAAAAATTGTCCGACGGATTTCGCTCAAATTGTCAGGGAACGTGTCAAATTGATGTAAGAAAAGGTACTGAAAGTTTGGCGGCGCTGCGCGCCGCCGTTTTTGAGATATTGCCAAAATTCGCGACGGGGGGTAAAATTTACCCCCAAGCCCCGCGCGGGTTAACTTCTTAACGGGTGGGAGCTCGCACTGAAAACGAGCCCTTAACAGCGACTTCATTCAGTTGGCAGAGCTCGATGGGAAACTTGGGCTGCTCCACAGGTCAGTACTGAGCAGCTGTCAGTGGAGACAGCACATACCGGACAGTCCGGGCGGCGGACTCGGACAGGACAGCAGACTCGGACTGGATATCGGACCTAGTATCAGACAGGGGCCAGACAGTGGATACAGACAATACTCAAGGATCGGAATGTTAATCAAATCAGTTCATTGATATTCATGCTAACCCCCACACCCCACACCGGCCGGCGCCGTCACCGGGCGGCCGCCGCACAGTGGGCGATCCGGCCGGTGTAGCCTCGCGAAGCCTATCGGCATTCATAACATCCATGTTTTTGAAGCTAGAACCACAATATTTAGGAGCAACCTTCTTGAATATCCAATGAGCATATGTTTTAAATAAGGACTATCTCTTATAGGATTTGTGCTCTGTGGTGAGCTTGCAATTTGCCTAATTGCTGTTCGAATAACGCATGAATACTTTTGAGGGTAGGTCGAAATTTATGACGATATGAGCTGGGTAGGACATTGAAATGGTGTGTACCTCCATAGAAAATTGCTTCCAAACCAATTTTTATTCAAACGTTAATGCCCTACCAATTTATACATATCATGAAACAGCGTAAATCTCGCCCGGCAAGGCCCCATTTCATAACATGACCCAAGCAGCGGGTTTGGTTTTTGGTAAATAGCTTCGCAAAAAATGGCCGCAGAACCACGATTTTGACATCGTCGTGTTCGCCTTGCTCAGGCGCGTCGAATGGTATACTTTTGTTTGGGTGAGGCCACCGTAAGGTCAACCTGGCCTTAACCTCGAGTCAAGGTCAGGTCAGAGGTCTTCAAATCACGAAGTTGGTCGAAGGAGGTCATATCGCATATCATTCGATTCGGCAGGTCTTCCGGAGTCCATTGGTGAACTTGTCGACTCTCTAGCTCAATTTGATTGGGAGTTATTGACGAAAAACTCGTATGATCCTAGTGACGTCATAAATGACGTCATGCAAGGTCAACAATGCAAAAATGCAGCATCAGATCTTGCAAGGAGTACATGAAGTAACGATTCCATGTATTTGAGACAATTGAATATCATTCCTGGCGCCAAAATAACAGTTTTTATATTTCCCCATTGACTTATAGGTGAGGTCACGTGACCAACCTGACTTTATGTGACATTTAGGAAAAATCTGAGATATGCAAGTTGTAAGACCTCTGAAGGACAATAAGTTCTGCAAGTCTCACCTCCCTGTGAAAGTTACTCTGGCACTGAGAGCGTTGCAAGGTTGCGACATCTGAGGATCGTGCAGAGTTTCATTTATGACGTCATAGGTCAGTGACCTGACCTGACTTGAAAGTGCGGCTGGTGTCACAAGATCCAGCGTGCATCAAAGGTCAGGTATGCCAGGTTGCAGCTCTCTATTGCCTGGGTGTTTTGAGCTATCGCGAAAACACCCTTTGGGGCATTTACCACTTGTGCTCAAGTGCACCAAGCCACGGCCAACCCTTAGAAGAAAAAAGTGTCTGGATGCTAGGGCTGCAAGTTGCTGCAAATTTTCACTGGCTCCCCTAATAGATAGTGTCTTAGTGCATGCGATACAGCATTATTTTCAGTTCATCCTCGTAAAACTTTTTTTGCTGGGCTTGGTTAATTCAGTGAACGTAATGTTCAGTGGTAGAAAAAATATAACAAGTTAACCTAATTATAAGACATTTTGAACTGATTTTGTATACTTGCTTTCTATGGCGGAATCGTCTAAACACCTAAATTTCACTTTCCATGCGAAATGGATGCTCAACACCTAGCAATTTCATCGTTCCGCAAAATATTCAAAGAGCGTAAAAATCGGCTGTGATTATCCCCCTTATGAAGTATTACGGAACGCTGTCTTTAACGATACTTTTGTCTCCGAAAAATTTCTCCTGAGCCATGCAAATGCATTAATCGTAATCTTTGATGAATTTTATGTCGACTAGTATGCGTTGTTTTCCAATTTTCGGAAAAAATGTCTTTGAGGTTTCGCGAGGCTAGACCGGCCCGATCGCCTACCGTGCGCCGGGGCGCGGCGGCCCCCACGGTGCCGAGCCCGGCCTTGGCAGCGGGCGGACGTCCCCGGTCGGCATTTACAGAGCGGCGCCGCCTGCCCTCCCCAGTGCCGTCCTCTCGTCCGCTCTGCTCCCCGCTCAGCGCCCACCTCAGTTCGACCAGCTGAGCCACGGCGCACAGCAGAAACGCCGCTCTGGGTCCTACCCTACCGAAAAAGGGAAATCAATCTGAATTGGCTCCAAACGGATTTTCACTGTCCCGTCATCATAACGGCGGTTTAACCCTCGCCCGTTTTGGTGTTTTTTCCAGCCGCGAACGTATAAGGGGGGGGGGGGGTCGGACCCCCCCCCCCCCTGCTGTTTCGCCCCTGATCGAGCTAGAGCTTCGCGGAAAAAAACGAGCGTGTTGCCCGTGACGAGAAGAAGTCGATGATACCTAATTTTAAGGTCCTAGGTCATTGGTTGACCTTGCAGGTCAGGTCAATGACCCAAAAGTCGGGAAAATCGGGACCTGTTAGAACGCCGTAAAGTGTGGCTGCCACGGGGTTTTTCGGGGTGCTGATCACGAATATCATGTTAGTTTTGATCACAGATGATGTCTTCGTGCATTTAGTCCAGGTAGGGTCAGGTCAGGTCAGGTCAACCAGTAGGGGTTCTGCCGGGTATTCCTAGTAGGTGTCAACCGCCTCTGACAGCTTCGTAACATGTTACGAAGGCACCAAAACTACTTCGTAAGTGTTCAAATGGCTGCCAAATTCTAATTCAGCTGCAAAAACTGGCCTAGAAACATGTAAAACTCGAAAAAGTGAACCGAGGTCATCAAAGGTCAATGACCTGACCTGACCTTCAGTGACCTTGACACCCACCCTAACGCATGGGTGCAACATCATATCACGTTTGAA